TCGATTTAAAAACATAATAGAGAAAAGATCCCATTTACAATTGCAACAAAAACTGTAAGGTACCAGGAACAAATAAATGAATAAATACATAAATAAACAAAAAAATATTAAAACTCAGTATTACAATGATGGCAATTTCCCCCAAGTTCACTTAAAATAAAAAATAATTTCAATCAAAATGCCAACAGTGTTTTATGTTTTACATGGATAAACGGATTCTAAAATTCATATACAAAAGTGGCAAGAATGGTTAACATAATTTTGAAGAGCAAGGTAGGGGAAATGTGGATTAACACAAAGTTATAGAAATAGACCAATGGAACAAAAGAGAGAGCCTAAAAATGGAACTTGAACATGACAGAGGTTGCATTACAATTTAGATGGGCTATTTGATAAATGGTGCAGAAAGCATAGTGCTTATTCATATGAAAAATAAAATTATGTTCTTCATAACGTAGAAAAAATATATTTCAAGGGATTAGAGATATGAGTCAAAAAAATCAAATTTTAAAAATTGCTAGGGGCACCTGGGTGGCTCAGGTGGTTAAGCATCTGACTCTTGAGGCTCAGGTCATGACCTCGGGTCCTGGGATAGGACCCCACATAGGGCTCCTCACTCAGCACAGAATCTGCTTCAGATTCTCTCTCTCCCTCTGCCCCTCCCCCTGCTCACGCCCACTCACTCTCTCAAATTAATAAATAAATCTTTAAAAAAAATAAATAAATAAAATAAAGCAAATAACCTAACAGAGCAATGGACAAAGTAGCAAATGAGTGAAATCACAGAAGAGAAACCCCAAATGGCCAATAAACCTATGAAAAATGATCAACCTTAAAAGGGGAATAAAAATTACTATGGCATTGAGATACTGTTTTAAAGTCTGGCAAAACTTAAAAGCCTGAAAACACCATGACGGGGAAAAATGGGAAATTCATACTCAATTGTGAGTGTAAATTAAAATAACCATTTGGTTTGATGATGGATCTTACAATGCAACAATTTCACTTTCTGGTACATACCTCATGGAAATTCTTGGACATGTGCAAGGAAGATAGATACTATAAGAACGTTCACTGCAAAATGGTTTATAACAGCAAAATAAGTTGGAAAGTACATGTTCATAAAAGAATGAGTGAATAAATTGCAGTATATTTATATATTAGACTAAGGCAGTTGAAATGAACAAATTAGTAGTACACACATAAAACTGAGTGGAAAAAAGCAAACTACAAAATGATTTCACTTAATGGATTTTTAAAACTTGCAAATACCAAGTTTTACAGATCTGTAAATACTCAGCCACAATATAAAAATATTGGGAAGAATGAAAAACCACCATCTTTATGAGAAGGGTTACCTCTGGGGAGGGAGAGGAAAAAGAATGTGAATACCTAAGGGAACAGAGGCAGGCATCAGCTGTGTGTTTAATGATAGTTAGCCAGCCAGCCAGAAAAACAGAAAGACAGATATAATGTTAAGATTTCAAGGCAGTTTGGATATGAGTGCACAGGTGTTTGCTACGGTATTTACTATACTTCTATATATTTGAAACATTTTATAATATAAACTTCCTTAAAAGGAAACACATTTTTATTTTTTATTTATTTATTTATTTATTTTTAGAAAAACTGCTTTTTTTTTTTTTTAAGATTTTATTTATTTATTTGAAGATAGAGACACAGCGAGAGAGGGAACACAAGCAGGGGGAGTGGGAGAGGGAGAAGCAGGCTTCCCGCTGAGCAGGGAGCCCGATGCGGGGCTCGATCCCAGGACAGGACCTGAGCCGAAGGCAGTCGCTTAACGACTGAGCCACCCAGGCGCCCAAAGGAAACACATTTTTAAAAATGAACTAGAGGGGCCCCTAGGTGGTTCAGTAGGTTAAGCGTCTGCCTTTGGCTTAGGTCATGATCCCAGGTTCCTGGGATGGAGCCGCATTGGTCTCCCAGCTCAGCAGGAAGTCTACTTCTCCCTTTCCGTCTGCCCTCCCCCCAACGTCGTGCTCTTTCTCAAATAAATAAAATCTTAATAATAAATAAAAATGGACTAGAGCTACAGCATTAATATAAATACATCTCAAAAACTAAATGTTAAGTTAAAAAATCAAGTTACAGAAACATGTATAGTATGGTATCATTGTATTACATATTTTTGTAAAACAGTTTTTCCACAGTTACATACATATTGGTAGGTTGTATAGACTTTCATGGGAATGGTATATTCCAAATTCAGGATGATGGTTACCTCTGGGCAGGGTGTAAGAGGAACAGGACTGGGGAAGGGTACATAGGGAGCTTCAGCCAAATCTGTAAAGATTTCTTTTAAAAGTCTGAAGCAAGGGGCACCTGACCAGCTCAGTCATTAAAGTGTGAGACTCTTGCAGGGTAGTGAGTTCAAGCCCCACGCTGGGTGTAGAGCTTACTTAAAAATTTAAAATAAATAAATGAAAGTCTGAAGCAAATATGGCATTTGATAAAGCTTGGTACTGGATGGTTTTTAGAATCCCATATTTATATATATGTATGTATGTAAATAACAGCAGGAACAATAATAAATGAAGAAAATGAATGAGAGTTAACATCTACTTATTATGTAGTAGGCACTCTTCTAAACGTGTGCATGTATACTAAGAACAACCCGAGGAAGTAGATTCTGCTTATTTCTAATACTATCTATTATTATTTTAATACTATTAGATTCTATTACTCATTTTACAGATGAGGAATTAAAGCAGAGAAGTGAAGCTGGCCTAAGATTATAAAGTTAGTAAATAGTGAAAGTAAGATATGAAGCCAGGATTTGTGCTCCAGAGCTTAAAGCTTAATTACCATGTTACTGTTATAATGTCATTCTCTATTCTTTTCAGTATATCATAAATAATTAATTCCCAATGTTATTTCTGTATGTTGGAAATTAAAAACACTTTTAACCCATGACCACAAAAAAAAATGCATATACACACATACATATTTCTGTGCAACTCACACTGGTTCTAAAGATGCTGAAAGAATTCTAGGAATGTCCTGAAAATAGTGGCATCCCAACTACTCTATCAATTTATATATTTGAGGTTTGGTATTTTTTAGATTGTTATTTTATAATCAAACATTATTTTTCAGTAGTCCTAAGATAATATATATCTGGAATCTTAGATAACTTATATAAAGAAGCATATGATGTAATTCAACCATGTCTTTCTCTCTCATTAGAGGCAAAATTCCATTACTTAGCTTCAGGCCTGAAAACTCATATTAAGAGTTTTTAATAAGTCATTCTGTCAAGAAATTCAATTTCAATCATTCATTTTTTCTGGTCTCTCAATATAAGTTGTTTTTTAAAAGCCCATAGCTAATATTTATACAATAATAAACTGGCATTCTCAGTCATTAAATATTTATCAGCAGTGGGGTGCCTGGGTGGCTCAGATGGTTAAGCTTGTCTGCCTTCGGCTCAGGTCATGATCCCAGAGTCCTGGGATAGAGCCCCACATCGGGTTCCTGGCTCAGCGCGGAGCCTGCTTCTCCCTCTCCCTCTGCCTCTCTCCCTGCTCATGCTCTCCTCTCTCTTTCTCTCTCTGTGTATCTCTGTGTCTCAGAAGAATAAATAAAAAAAAAATCTTAAAAAAAAATATTTATCAGCATTGATTATGTGCTAATCACATATTCTTTGTCCGTGGTACCACTGTTACCATTTCTTTTTTTTTTTTTTTAAGATTTATTTATTTATTTTAGGGAGAGAGAGAGAGTGAGAGTGAGTGAGGGGTGTGGGAGAGGTGTGGGGCAGGGGCAGAGGAGGGAGAGGGAGAGAATTTCAAGGAGACACCCCGCTGAGCACAGAGCCCACAGGGCACTCAATCTCAACCCTGAATTCAAGACCTGAGCCAAAACCAAGAGTCAGACGCTCAACCGAGCCACTCAGGCACCCCTACCATTTCTTAAAAATGTCTTTTCTCCATCTACATAGCCACATTCTCAATGTTATCATCTACTAACCTATAGAATATGTATTCAAAAAATATGAAAATATGAAAAAGAAGTTCTTGCTTTCAAAGACTTCACTGTCTAGCAGGAGAAAGAGACAAACAAGAATTATCTATAATACATAAATACTTTTAAAAAGGTAATTAAACCTTAACGGTCAGGAAAGATGAAAGGATGGCTGGTGCCCTTTTAACAGCTAACCTGGAACGTGAACAGGAGACAGCAATGGAGACTGTTCTTTCGAGAAAACTTATCTTAAAAGGAAGAGAGGATGATAGCTAGGGGCACAGGTTCTAGAGAAGGTTTTAAGATAGAGAAATACTTAGCATCAACTATTCTGAACTACTTTCCTTGCTACATTCCTCTCCTAACACTAAATCCCAGTCTGGATATAAGCAAGTCACTTAACATTTCTAAGCCCCACGAGAGAGATGTTTAAGAACTCTAAATTACGAGGAAAATTGAATAAATTACCTCTAAAGTTCTTTCTAGACCTAAAATTCTATGATTCTGTCACTATGATTATCTGACCTGTTTAAATTCAAAGGTAAATCATAAAATATTCAGTATGCAAAAAAGAAAAACCAAGACCAATTAAGAGATGAACTAGTTTGTACAATTGCATTCTATTACTTTTGCAAAACAGTTAAAACAATTCCTCTTCTGGCCATCAGTAAAATTTTCACAAAAGACAGTGCATTTTTACCAGTTGGTAAAGAGCTTCTCACCCTCAAACCTGTAGACTTCTAAACAATCCCCAAGCAAACTGTTCTGTGACAACAGAAGTAAATTGCTTAAAAGCCCATAGCTTAGACCTGTAAAAGTCATCTTTTAAATGGAAGAGGTTTATAGAAACATGTATATTACATTCTTTCTACAATACATTTGTTCATTATCTTTAAAATTTTAATGTACAGGTTCATAAACAGTGTTTTTTAAAAAACTAGCTAAGATTAGATCTTCACAGTAATATGCTTTTTCACTATCACACATTCTGAAATTTAGAACAAGGTTTCCCTTACCTGATATGGACATGGAATGTGATATTCTCTGCAGCGTTCTTGTATCCATGTTGTTTCCCAGATGCCACGGTAAGCTTGTTCATAAAAGTAGCATCCAATTACAACCAAGAGTGGTACGAGATAAAGAATGCTGAAAACACCAATCCGGATCATAAACTTCACCAACTTATCTTGGTTCTCCTTTTCTAATGGAATTTCAATTCGAACTCTGTTTAGGGATATAATGCCAGCTAAGAGGAGAGAAACTCCAACTACCACATACAGGCAGAGGGGAGCAAGAACAAAATATCTCAATGCATCAACATCGTAGAGGCCAACAAAACACACGCCACTGATATTGTCACCTTCAATTTTATTCATCGCTAAAAGGATGATAGTTAGAGTTCCAGGGATGCCCCACGCACTGGCGTGAAATAGCAAAGCTTTCTTCTCAATAGCTTCACTACCCCACTTTGGCACAGCTGCCAAGAACCATGTGATGGTAAGAATTACCCACCAAACACTGCCAGCCATAGTAAAAAAATAGAGTACCATAAAAAGCATGGTACAGGCTTTATTATGAGATCCTTGTGTCACTGTGGAAGCCTTATACTGTGCAGGGCTAGATGCATTGCAGGCTACTCGGTCTTCAAGCAAAAACCCAATGAAGAAAATTAATGATACCATCATGTAGCAGACAGCATAAAATATAATAGGTCTTTCAGGATAACGGAATCTTGTGACATCAATTAAAAAAGTTAAAAAAGTAAACAACGTGGCAGAGAGGCAAATGATTGAAATCAATCCTATGAAGTATCGAGCAAATGAAAGTTCTTCTCTCCTAAAGTACATATTTGGACAAGGAGGTGAACAATCACGCACGTGTAAAAAAGAATAACCAAGATCAGGATCAATTTTCAACTCTCGAGGACACCAAAAACCATAGTCCCTCTGCACTGCCACTGGAGCTCCTTCAGTAGGATCACCAGCTAAATTCAGATCCACAAGTCGAGGATATGGCTCATCACAATCTGGGAACCTAAAAAAATACAAGATGAGAACCATTTTCACCTATTGGGAAGTCTATTGATACTTAACAATTTGGATTTCCAAATTTAGCACTCATGACCTTATTCATTCTAATATCCTTGAGTACAATTACATTAAGTAGGAATAAAGTAAATGTTGATTCTTGTTTATGGGCCATACAATTAGACTGTCCACTGTTGATCAAAAAATGATATGGTTTTATACTTAATTTAGTTTTGGCTTCAAAAACAATACTTTTTTAAAGTTTATTTATTTTTTTTAGTAATTTCTACTCCCAACATGGGGCTTGAACTCACAACCCCTGAGAACAAGAGTTGCATGCTCTTCTAATTGAGCTAGCCAGGCACCCCAAAGAGTATTCTTTTAATTAAAATAGTCTAAAATAGCCATCAATAAGTAACACTGTATATAGAGAGTATTTAAGACACACACTTTAAAATAAGATTTTAAAATATATACATTATTATAAAAGAAATGAATACATAGCTCTAACAAAAGAGTAGCTTTTTCCCAATCTTTAACTAGTTACCCTAGATTCAGTGGAACTTCCTTAAGCAGAAATGTTAAAAAAAATCTTTCCCAAATGCATAGGCCAAGGTGTTTTGAATTACATTAGCAATAAAAAATCCTTATAAGTGGCTGAGTTTTTAGATCTTTTCTTCCCATTTTATATTTGCTCCCTGCTTAGCATATTGATTAATTACAGTCCTTCTAAGGTCTCTAATGTGAACTACTTCTTTCTTACCACCCCTAATTTCTCTCCAATCCATTACATTCTCTAACTCAGTTATTCTCAAACTTTGGTGTACATAAGAAAAACTTAATATTGTTTTAAAAATAAAAGTTCAGGGGCACCTGGGTGGCTCAGTTGGTTAAGTGCCTGCCTTCGGCTTAGGTCATGATCCAGGAGTCCTGGGATCAAGCCCCAAGTAGGGCTCCCTGCTCAGCAGGGAGTCTGCTTCTCCCTCTTTCTCTGCTCCCCCTCACTTGTGCTCTCTCTCACTCTCTCAAATAAATAAATAAATAA